TAACATATCAAATTTTAATATTTTTAAATATTATAATTTAATTGATAGAAAAATTCTCCCATCATCATTTTTTTTAAAATCAAATATATTATAAAATTATTAAATTAATTCACTTTTATAAGGAAAGACCTGTCACTCTTTAATAGCTAATTTTATATAATTTAATACAATTCAAATGACAAAAAACAAATTTTAATAATGTATTATTCTTATGAAACCTCAACAATCCAAATAGAAAGGTGCAAGCTACAAGAACTACGCATATATACCCAACCAAAAAAAAAGAAAGAGAAAACAACTAAGCTCATAAATTTTAACAAATTAATAGGGACAGTTTAGTCTAATTTCCACGAACATCATCGGATGGCTAATGAAAGAAACAGAAAACTGAGGAAACCAAGGCTGCCTCTGCTCTTTACACATTCGCAGAGAAGATTGATAAGAAACATCAACTTCTTTTTTGTACACCCCAATATAGAAATATTATAATCCTTTTGTCATCTTTCATTTGTTTCCTAACTTTTTTTTAAAATAGGTAATGAACATTTGTTTCCTCACTTGAATCTCATTGTTGTTGCAATCAAAAATAAATATAAAAAATTTGGCCACATGAAGAATAGCAAAGAAAAAGTTATGCTTGAATAATTTTCCCCACTCGAAAAGATGGAAAAGGGCAGAGCAAAGTCCCATCCTTGAATCCATCTCCTCTCTGAGTTTTCCAGTCATGTACTTGTTTTTACTGTTGTAACCTTCTGTTCATCAGCTTTCTGTCCCATCCATCCATATTCCAAAAGGAATGTGGGACTCATCCCAATTCAGTTGCTTCCACTGTCGTCTTTTACCTCATTCCCTCTCTCCTAATCTCCTGACAAATTCTGGTAAATAACAAGAAAGATTAAAAAAAAAAAAAAGTAACTACAGCCTACAGACATATATTTGCATTGAATTGCCCATTTCAAAAACCATAATAATATATAAAAAGAGGTTTATACCAGGACCTTGAATTGAATCAAATCATCATCTTTCACCACGAAAAGACTTAACTTATTTTTAATTTTAATTTTTTTTTTTTTGTGGAGATCAAAACTCCTCTGTTTATGCCTGTGCTTTTGCTTTCAAGGTCATGTTATAAACCCCCTTTGTGATCTTCTCCAAATGAATTGTTGTCCCAGTCAAAGAAACTAAAATCCATGCCTCCCTTGCTGCTGTTTTCTTTCTGGTCCTCTCCTTTGGCGAACAAGAGTTCGGCGTCTAACTCGTCCAAATCAGCGAAGAAGTCCTCCGGGTGATGGTGGGTGGAATCTGGCAATGTAGGTTTGTAACTGTGAGGGAAAACTTCATCAGCATTAAATATATCTGCATCTTCCATCTCCAGCTGCTTCTCCATGTCTTCCATCTCTTCTTTTACGCTCGCTGTCGAGCTACCTGGAACAACGGGATCAGAGAATGTGTCGTTGCTGCTCTCCTTCATTTCGTCCTTTGTCGCCTTTCCTTTTGT